GTCTGTGTTCCGGTTTTACAGACGAGGAAGGGCAGGGAGGCGAAAGCCCTCACCTTGAGCCCAGCCTGCCTCCAGGGCCCTCTACTGTTGCCGCCCAAGAGAGGGCATCTGCGGGGCCCCGACTCGACTCTGGGCTGGGCCTGTGCTGTGCACTGGGTAGGGGGGGAGAGGCAGGGGCAGGCAGCCGAGGGCCCAGTCCCAGCGCTGCCCCTTCCCCGCGGCTGCTCCGCCTCTCAGCCTGTGTCCTCAAGGTGAGAATGACAAGGACGAACGTGCCGGCCCCAGGGAAGCCAAGCCACGCCCACCCGTCTCCCAGCGAGGCTGTCCGAGGCAGGTGTGGCTCTGGGGTGGCAGCCAAGGCCACCCTCGGGAAGGGGCCCAGCAGCCCCTCTCACTTTCCCCAGGAAGGCAGAATCTCCCTCCCATGGGCTCTGTCCCGGCCACAGCCCAGCCCCAGAGGGGTCACGGGGAAGGAGAGGAGGAAGAGAAAGGCCAACGTGAGGTCTCTGCTGCCTCACCAGGGGAGTGGCACTGGGCCTCTGTAGTCCCTGCTGCCCCAGCCACCAGGGCAACCTCTGTGGAAGGATGGATGATGGACAGACGGATGACAGGTGGATGGATGGAGAGTGAATGGATGTAATATTCAGGCTGGTGAGGCAGGCTGAGTGCACAGATTTTATGAAACCATGTTTTGCCAAAATTAAAGATACTCTCACTGATGGGAGGGCACTGGGGAAAGAGGTGCTCTCACACCCACCAAGAGGGAGGGCAGGAGGGGCAGCGTGTCTCACTAAGCATCCACGAAGAGCGCGTGAAAGGAGGCCACCCCGTCGCCCGCACCCCTGCTTGGGGACAGGAGGCCCGGGAGGAGTTCCAGGCTGCCTGTTCCAAGCAGGTGGCCAAGCCATGGGCCCCTGTGGGAATATACATGGGCCTCAGGAGAGCCGGAGTGCGGGGCCAGGGCCCTCCGAGAAGGAAGGCGAGGGTGGGGCCCCTACCTAGCTGATTTTCGGGCATCTTCAGGAGCCTCTTCATGGCCCTGTGCTGGACTTCGGGCTGGCTGGAGAAGCTCTGCATGACCTCTGCAGGAACATGGCAGCATTGGGGGGCGCCTGCCGGCGCATCTGCCCAAGCCTCAGCCAGCTCAGGGCCCCTTCCGGGGGCCCCTGGGCGGGCACCACACAGGCCTGGCTGCCGATGTGTGTGGCCAAACGGATGCGAGTGACTGGGCCTGAAGAAGCGCTCTTATCACCCCCACTTCCGGGCCGAGCCACCTGTCCAAAGTCAAACTGGGGTCGGCCTCAGAGCCCACAGGGGTGCGCTGCCGCTCCAGCCTCACTCTGGGACAGAGTCGGTGACTCGCTCCAGGCCACTCAGCTCGTGGGGGATGAGCTTCGACTGGACCCAGCCGTCTGTCTCCACAGCCCGTGACCGTGAGACGAGGAGACTGAACAGCTAGGGCCTCGTGGTGCCCCCTCCCCAGAAAGAGGGGCAGAGGTGGCGGGGGAGGGTGGGAGGGAGCCACTGGTGTGGCAGAGAGTGAGAAGCCCCCACACACCAGTGACACAGAGGTACGGGAGGGTGGGGCCAACCCTGAACTTGAAGATGACCACAATCCCTTGTTTACCCAAGACTGCAGGTGTAGCCCCCCAGCCAGAGACACGTGGTGGGACTGTCACGTGCACCTCTGGGGAGGTGAGAGTCAGCACTGTGCCTGCCTGGGGTCTCAGGCCTGCGCGTGTCACATTGCACATGGAACCCCAGAGCCACTTCACCTTCAGGCGGGATGGGCCTGCCGGTCCGGGGTCGCCCCTCCCGCCCTGTGGGCAGCACCCTCCTGGGCACCCGGCAACCACACAGGCGGCGCTGCTGAGCGGGGAAGACACTGCGGGCCCCGGGGCCGCCGTGTGCCAGGGTGTGGAAGTAAAAGCAGGGCATCTGTGGTGGGCGTGGCAGTGGGTGGCCCTTCAGCCACATGGAGGACTGTGTGGCAGGAACAGAGGGGAGTGGTGTGGCCCGGCCACGGAGGTGAACTCTGCCATGGGTGCGTGAGGAGCCACCTACGGGACCCTGGGTGCCTCTGGCACCCCCGCCCCCAGGAGCCCACGTCACCTAAGATGCTGGCAACGTTGGTCTCTAACAGCGTGTCAATGATGGGCAAGGGCATCACGGGCCCGTGCAGCGCCAGGGCGGTGCTGGAAGACCGGAAGTTGTGGCTCACGCAGGTGATGTGAATCACGTCCCTGGGGAGGAGCAAAGAGCCCGCCACCTCACCTCTGCCCTGGCCGCCAGATGCACCTTCTTGGGGAGCCCGTTGGGTAGCACCTCTCCTGGTGTCAGCAGTGTGTCCAGCGGCCGTGCCGGCAATCCCCCCCAGGAGGGCCCGGGGAGGACGGTGCTGGGCCCTGCCACTTCCGCCTGCGTGGGCCCTTCCTCCATGAAATAGAGCAGAAAGTCAGAATTCCCAGCTGTGCTGCTATAAAGGCGACCATAGCCCAGGGTGGATTCATTTTGTTCTTCTGACTTTAAAGTATGTTAGAATTAAAACGTTTCCCTGGTCCTGGGGCCAGCTTCCCTATCGGACGCAGGAGGCACCGTCCTTGGGTGGACAGGGCACGTGTGATGAGCGCTTTGTGGCGTTAAAACCCTCGGTGGCCGCGTAGAGATTGAAATGGAAAGACGCTAAAAGGTAAGAGTAGCGGAGTGAGGCCCCAGAGCCTGCGCTCACCTGATGGTTATTCGCTCCGAGGGGTTGATCTGAAGCATCAGAGGCAAAAGGGAATTGAAGATTTTCGCATCGGGGACCTTCCTCTCCTCCATGGTCCTCAGGACACCCCTCAGGCCATCGGGGGAACTCCGCATGGACTTCCTCAGAAGCATGGCTTCCGTCGCCTGGGAGGAGAGAGAGGCTGGCTTGTGCACCAGCTCAACCAAATGAAGACAGCCTGACCCCAGGCAGAGGGGAGCCTGTGGGAACCGGAGGGGAGGCGACATAGCTTCCGCCGTCAGGAACGTGCAGAGGCCACCTGAGCCCCAGGATTCTCCTGTGAAGTAGAAATGGTGGTTTGGAGAGAAGCAAGTGGCCATCTCGCTGGGTGGAGGGAGTGCAGGACAACCTTCCCTCTACAGACACACCAAGAAGGTTGTGCGCCTCACCCCTCTCTGATCCAGACCCAGCTGGTAAGAGCCTGGGGGTCTGGGTGAGAGTGGGAAGTGGGGCCCACTCCACTGGCGGCTGTCCTTGCTGGGGCCTCGGTGCTCGCCTGTGGGCCTCGGGGCCAGGGAGATTCCTGCTCATGGGCCTGGCGGTGCTGGCGGAGGCCTGGCCACCTCCTTCTCCGCCTTCCCTTCTGTATGTCAGGATCTGCAGCCCCAGGTGGTGTCCCCCATGCAGGGGCCTCCACGGCGCCGAGAGCTCCCCACCAGGGGCAGGAATCCAGGAGGCACCAGGGCACTAGCCTGCACCGGTGGGTGACGACAGCCTCTGTGGATTCAGGGCGGTGTTGGTCAGATTTCCCATTACTCGCGGCTGGATGAGTCCTTAACTCAAGCAGGGACAGAGCATGACCTGAGTCCCACCGTGGGCGGGTAGTGCTCCTGAACGCGGGTGTTCTCGTCCCTAAGCGGGCAGCGAGGTCCCCTGGAGGGCTGCTGTAAGGGGGAGGTGTGCGGGCGGATCTGAATATTACCACCATCAGCACCACCACCACCACGCCAGGGCCCGGCAGGGCGGAGGTTGGCAGAGCCTGGGTCCCTGGGGCTGTGGGGAGTGGGGCTCGTGTGTGGCAGGGAGAGGCAGACAGAGGCTGCTCACATCCACGAAGGAGCAGCTGGCCATGTCGAGGATGATGCAGCCCAGGGACCAGACATCAGACTTCTGGCTGAAGGAGAAGCTGAGGGCTTCGGGGGCCATCCAGGACTTCTGAAAGGGGTCTGTTGGCAGAACAGATGGGGGATGCATGAGTCCAGGGTTCTCTGGGGAAGCAAGCAGCTTGGAAAATGAGCCCTTTTCAGAGGAGGGGGGAAAGGAAGAGGCCCCTGGTCAGGAAGATCCTGGCCCTTGATCTTCAGCCAGTGAGGCTGCCCATCTCGGCAGGAGCCCACCAGGCCGACTGTATGCACGTCCCGGTCCCACGGTGGCTGCAGAATTAGTCAGAAGAGCCACATGCCAAGAAGGCTAAAATCTGTACCCTCTTTAAACATCTTGCCCCTCTAAATGCTGGGGGCTTGAGGCAAAGTTCTGGTTGCCCTGCCCTAGTTTCTAAATCTGGATCCCGAGACTGAGAGCCAAAAGAGCAGGGTCCTCAGTCCAGCTCAGTCAGTCCCTGACGGGCCTCCAACAGCCATCCCTCGCTGGACCTCCATTTCCCAGACAAGGAGAAAAGGGGTGGACTCCAAGGACCCCCACCATCTACACCTTCAGTAGATCCACCCATCCACTCACCTACCCGCCCACCTGCCCACGCACACCGACCCAGCCAGCCAGCCATCCGCCTGTCCATCTGTCTACCCACCTACCCACTGACCCACCACCATCCATGTATCCATCCATCTACCCACTGACCCACCAATCCACCCATCCATTCACCCACCTATTGGCCTGTCCCTCTATCTGCATGTCCATCTATCCACCCGTCCATCCACCCACCTACCCACCTACCCACTCACCGACCCATCCACCCAAGCACCCGTCCATCCATCCTCTGCACAAGGACAGTGTGCCATGTACCTGCCAGCCCAGAACTCTGGAGTTCTCCACTGGAGGCTTGCTCTCCCCCTCCCTGATAGCTGTTACAGACTTGAAGCCCAGCTCCCTTGGCCCTGTTGTCTTTTCAAAGGAAGGAGAACTTCTCTCCCCTGACTCCCCACCTCCATCTTCTCCTGGGTTATTTGGAGACTCAGGAAGTGATCCAGCCCTGGCCAGTGCCTGGCATCCAACAGCCCTCTGTCCATGCATGTCAGTCAGTTTCCTTCCTTCCGAGGCCTGTCTTCTCCCTCCATAAAGGTTCATATTTTCTGAGTGTCCTTTGGACCCTGCATGCACCCCCATGGTCATCCTCCTGCTCAGTTACAAGCAGCCAAGGGGTCTCTCTGGAGCCCACGTAACCCGGGTTGGGGGTAGGTCCTGTGAGCAAGAGCAGGTTTGACGCTGCCTGTTCCAGCACGTAGAGCGGCCACTGCCCATGGACTCCAGGAGCAGCCCCCTTGGGTGGACAGCCCCCCCACCCTGCTCCCCAGCGGCGTGGTCCCCTGGCCGGAAGCACGCCAGCCACCTTCCTCTGCACGGATGTTCCACTTGGCGCGGTCAGCCATCAGCGTGTTAGAGCTCAGGTCCTGCAGCCTGCAGTGGTTGCTGCTGACCAGGGCGACATTGGAGGGCTTGAGGTTCCTGAAACGGAGAGGCACAGCTTTGCACCCACCGCCCTGCAGCGCCGTGTCTGTAACCCTGAGGCTCCTGCCACACCCAGTGCCACCGCGCAGCCCACCCTTCCCCTTGCTCAGTAAATGCCCTTTCAGCTCACTTTTACAACGCCGTTTCCTATAAGCATAAATAGTCTCAGTTATTTCAAACAGGAAAGGCAAGCAGGGAAAGCCTGGCTCCTCCGGGCCCTCCGCTAACACCCTGTCCGCCCCCATCCAGGTCTCAGCTGCGAGTCTGGGGACCGGCTGTCGACCGTTTCGTGAGGACCAATGACGCGAACGCGGAATCAAGAGTGCTTCCTGCCTGCATTTGGTTCACTGGGCTTTCCCTCCTTTAAATACACTGATCCTTCAGACTGTGGTTCCAGAGCGTGAAGCTGTGGCGCTGGCGGGTCCAAAGCTCAGCCTGGGCGTGGCCAGCAGCCCGACCTCCTCCTCCGCTGCTGTTACCTGCTGCTTCCCTTGCACTTCAGAGTCGGCCCGCCCTGTCTGTGCACTGAGAGCGTCGTGGAGGGGGCGACATTGTCTTCAAGCCTGGGAGGTGCTCTGGAAAGGGGCCCGCCCTTGTCCCGGCTGCGCTGACCGCAGCACCTCTCTCCCTCGAGCCCACCCCAGCGCCGCCACTGGAGGTGCCTTTTCTCCTGAGGCAGCCCGGCCACCTGGTCACCTGTGGATGATGTCCAGCTGGTGCAGGTATTCCAGCGCGTCCAACACCTGGCCCAGCATGTTCTGCAGCCACTGGGGGGAGGCAAGAGGTGCCAGGATGGGAGTGGGGCTCCCTGCTGCTGTTTTAGGCAGGTCGGTGATGGTGGCATGTCCTCGCCTGAGTCTTGAGATGGGCTGAAGCGAGTGGCCAACAGCGCAGAGCCAGTGCAAGAGGTGCGGCTACAGGCTGCTTCCAGGCTCTCCAGACAGAACGACCCCGGCAGCCAGGCAGCGCCCTGGCTTCCAGGCCTGCACTCCCGTCTCCAGAAGGAGACCCGGGACCCGGGGCCTCAGCCCCGCCCTCGCCCCGCCCTCGCCCCGCCCCTTGTGGGTGTCAGAGATGCTGAAGTCTTCAGTGCCTGCTTGGGGCTTGCCTCTCCATTTCAGTAGAATGAGAAGAGCCCTGCGAGAGAACATTCTGGAAGCATTTTGTATCAGAAACAAGATATACCTGGTTTCCAGGGCAGTGATTTTCAAACTGTGTTCCTAGGAAGCCTGGATTCCATCCTGGGGTGTCAGAGAGGCGCTGGGCCGACAGGACCCTGGGTTTCCTCCCACACCACCTTCCACTGACCCCCGACCCTACTCCCAGCCCCTGACTGGGGCAGTCCTGCCTCCCTTACTGAATTGCTGAGAATACTTTGTGCTACTGTGAACAGAAAGTTTGAACCCCACTCCAGAGCCTGCCTCTGAGGCTCATGTCGGGAGAGGAGCCGCTTGACCCCAGAAACCCCCAGCGGAGAGACAGTGCCCAGAGGCCCACCGAACAGAGGCGTGTCCCGGCAAATTCATTCGGTGTGTGTCATACACCTAAATGTGAAAGCAAAGTGCATCCAGCTCAGAGGACAACAGAAGAAAGAAATTATCATCATGACCTGGGGCAGGAACAGCTCCTCCCCAGCTCAGAAGGCACCAAACACAGAAGAAACATCGACGAACTGGACTTCATCACAATTAAGAACTTCTGTTCATCAAAAAACATCACTGAGAAAGTGAACTGGTAGTGGGGGAGGGTAATAGCTCAGTGGCAGAGCGTGTGCTTAGCATGCTTGAGGTCCTGAGTTCAATCCCCAGTACCGCCATTAAAAAAAAGTTAAAAATAAATAAATAAACCTAATCCCCCACCTCCCCAAAAAAGAAAGTGAATTTGCAAGCCACAGACTGGGAGAAGACACCTGGATACCGGACCCAGAATACATAAAGAACTCCTACGCATCAACAGGAAAGGACAGACAAGCCCAGTGTTTAAATGGACAAGAGGCCTGAAGAGGCACAGAGAAGCTATCCAAACGGCCAAAAGTGTTCAGCTTGACTACTCAGGAGTAACTGAAAGGAAAATGCGATTTTTAATTAAAGTTAAAAAGACTGACACAGTGAGGTGCGGGCCGGAATGCAGGGCTGGAAGGCTCACAGCTCACGATGGATCAGTCCCAAGTCAGACCCCCCAGAGAACCGGGATGTCTGCTAAAGACACACGCCCACCTGCTCCAGGACCCCACGACTCCCCGCGAGGGACTCACCCAGAGAATGACGTTCACGTCTGCCAAAACACACCCGGCAGTATTCACGGCCACCCTGCTTCTAACAGCCCCAAACCGGAAAGCACCCAGATGCTTATGGTGCTCGACAGGACACACTGACGGCAGTGTGGCCCCAGGACCAGGCGGCACCTGGCCATGGAGAGTGTCACTTCCCTGACACACTCAGTGCAGGTAAATCTCAAAGCATCTGCATGAACGCGGGAAACCAGACACAAGCCAACGGCACGCTGTATGAGCCCATTTATGAGGACTTAGGGATGGGCAGAAGGACCTCTGGAGGCAGAAGTCAAACCTGGGGACTGACTGGGAGTGTCTGCGTTCCAGGAACGCTCTGACCTCATCTGGGGAGGGGACAGGAGTGATGCCCATGCAGACCACACTGAGCTGTACACCTGAGATCTGTGTGCTGCACAGTATGCCAACAACTCCGCCCAGAAACATCAGGAAAAAAGGACCGCACTCCAGTGGCGCCTGCTGTCCCTCTGCCCCCCGCCCCCCATGGTGGGGTCTGTGACATCAGAAGGTCCAGGTGGTCCCCAGGCCTGGCGTCCCAGAGAGTCTGCCTTACCCTAGAGTCAATGACTGTCTTGGCCGCCCTCTTCTTCTCAATGACTGTCTGGAAGCTTCCCTCGTGGTGCTCCATCACCAGGCAGAGGAACAGGGAGGAGATCTGGGGGGCACCCACCCCTCAGCCAGGTGCCACGGTTCTGTGCCATCACTGCTCCAGGTCTCCCTTCCCTGGGCCACCCCCCTCAGAAGCTATGGGACCCTGCCCGCGGGGGCAGGGGGCACTGTTCTGGGGGGAGCACTGCTTATGGAGGGGAGAACTGCCCGCTGGTGGGTGCACTGTCTGGGGCGGGGGGGTGGGGCAAGGATGCTCTGCTCATACCTTGGCCTCCTCTTCCTCCTGCAGCCACCTCCACCCCCATCTAGACTAAAGCCACTTGGACTTTTCCTGAAGCTGGTCAGGCCTCCAGCCACTGCACTCGCAGACCGCCGCGCCTGGAGCCCTGGCCCCTTCCCGGAGAGGACTGCTCATCCCTGAGGGTCCACCTGAGATCCACTCCTCCCTGTGAGGGGCCGGTGCCCAATGGGCTCCCCGCAGACCCAGCAGACTGCGTCTGGGGCTTCGACTCAGACCCAGACCTGTGCTCTTGGCTTCTCCGCATCCCCCTTGAGAGCGCACAGGGTGCTCAGAAAATACCTGGGGGTACACGTGCTGAGGGTTCCTCTCTCAGGCTTTCCTCAGGGCCCAGCTGAAGGGGAGGGGATGTTGTGGGGGGAACCTCCTGCTTTCCTCAGCCTCTCGGTTGTCAGCCCCAGCTGGGGACACTAACGTGGAGATCGGACTCTGGTGTCACCCTCGGCCCCCTCCTCCAGTCACCCCACCACCGCCCAGCTTGACCTTGCTCCCCCAGCCTCACCCCAGTCCCATTCGGAACAATCTGAAAGCCTCAGGCTCCTTGTAAATCTGAGAAGTCAGGAGAGAGGGAGGCCCAGCTCAGTGGTAGAGCGTGTGCTTAGCGTGCACGAGGTGCTGGGTTCAACCCCCAGCGCCTCCATCAACAAAATAACTAGCCTAGTTACCTCCCCCAGTAAAACCAAGTGAAACGGAAGACGAGAAGCCGGATGCTGACGGCCCGGGGCGAGGGCTGGGGGCTACCAGGCCCGGACTGAGCCCCACTCAGCTGGCGCGAGGCCACACTTAGTTACTGCCATCGGCCCTTGAGGGGTTACAGTGGTGTGGGGGTGCTCTGTGCCCCTGGTGCCCGCTCAGCCTGCAGGAGCCGGCTCTGACCCACCTCACTGTTCCACATGACAAACAGCTCCTGGTACACGGAGACATGGGCGTGCTGAAGCTGCAGCAGCGGCATGAGCTGCGGGACAAGAGCAGAGGAAGGAAGTGGAGGGAGATGTTTGGGAAACTCTCAGCTAGGGCTCTGCAGTCACGCATCCCAACAAAAACACCAGCACCCAGCTCTGAGCCGGGCCGGGGTGCGGGCTCAGGGAGGGTGGGCGGCCTGGAGGTTAGGAGCCGGACGGCCCAATGTAGATCCTGCCTGCAGTGTGTGCTGGCTGTGCTGTGTGACTGAAGAGAGGCTCCTCAACCTCTCTGAGCCTCATCTGAAAATGGCGGTAACCATGGTTGGTATCTGCTTCAGAGGGGCGTCGTGAGGCCCGGGTGAGCGGATGCAGGCAAAGTGCCTGACACACAGGAAATGAGCACCGTCAGGGTTGGCTGGGGAAGGCGGCGTGGCCAGAGGGAGGGGGGATACTGATGCGCTCAGGCTGCCTGGCCTCCTGGGTGTGTGCACTTGAGGTCCCCGTGCCCCCACCCTCAGCTCCAACTGCTTTGAGAACAAACACAATTAGGCAGCAGAAATGGCTACTTTCACGACCAAGAGCCAGATGGACAACTGCCTGTGATGGCAGGTGGGGTGTACGAGGAGGTCATCTGGCGTGGATGGGCACGGGGGCTCCGGGACGGTCCTGCATATTCTTTCTCTCATGAATGTGGCTGGGGTCCGTCGCCAGCCATCAGACACGCTGCAGACCCAATAGCTGTTTGCTGGCAAAGCTCAAAAACTGGTGATTCCAGAAAAAGATGCACCAGGCATCATTCGATAGGAAGGGAGACATTTAACTTCATGTGAAATCCAAGAAAATCAAAGAAAAAATGACTCAGAGCCGTCGCCTAGCAAATCAGAGTGCATACAGTTGGTCTTGCTACTGCTCTAAATGAGGATGCTGCTGTCGGTTCTGACTGGGGGATTTAAGGAAGGCGAAGAGCTTACAGTTTCTTTGTTAAACAATTCTCTATTTCCCAAATTTCCTATTGTAATGCGCACTGCTATAATTGAAGGGAAAACATCCTTTAAAAGATGGTTATTGGCAGATTAGCCCAGGGAGACCTCACCAACATTCAAAGGGTACCTTCTCTGACAGCATATATTCTGTTGTCAGCACCTGGATTTAGACATGAGTGTTTGGGGCACAGACTCCCTTCATGACCTGGGGGCTTCTGACTTCACAGCACAGCGCAAGAACTGGTCCTGACCCTCCATGCCTCCACCAGGCTTCCACCCATCACTCTGCAGGCAGATACAGAATGGTCTCTGCGTGTCCTGCATCATGTCCTCTAGAGAGGGAACCACCCAGAGAGTTACCTCCTCCAGGGCCTCATTGGCCTGATGCTCATCACTGCACTCCACCTGCAGGGACACAAGAGCACTAGCTCAGTAAACATGCAGTAGACCACCCCTGTCATCATCACCACCAGCGTCATCATTGTCACCACCACCATCACCATCACCACCATCACCACCACCATCACCACCATCACCATCATCATCATGACCACCATCACCACCACCACCATCATCACCATCATGACCACCATCATCATGACCATCACCACCATCACCACCATCAACACCATCACCACCATCACCATCATCACCATCACTACCATCATCACCATCACCACCACCAGCATCACTACCACTATCACCATCATCACCACCACCATCATCACCATCACCACCATCACCACCATCATTATTTACCAGAGGTGCCAGGTTCCTATCATTCATGCCCTATCACATGGCACCAGATGGGGCCTGGAGATGTTCCTAATGGAGGGATCCAAAAATACTTTTGAGGGGGGAAGGTATAGCTCAAGTGGTAGAGCACATGCTTAGCATGCATGAGGTCTTGGGTTCAATCCCCCGTACCTCCTCTAAGGATAAATAAGTAATAAACAAACCTAATTATCTCCTCCCACCAAAAAAAAAAAGTGCTTTGAGCAATGAGGACGTGTTTGCTCCTGTTGCAAGGATAAGTTTAGGATAGCATCACATAAGTTCCAAGGAATCATTAGAGGATTGATTCTCAGACCATCTTGAAAGCAGAGAAGAAAACAATACGTCATCCGCAGAGTCACACAGCCCTGCTCTGGCTGGCTAGGTGTCAGCCTCACCACTGCATTCCTCATCCAAACTGGTAGGACTGCCCCGTCACTGAGTATGGGTGGTGGGAAACACGTGGAAAGGAAGAGAGAACGTGGTGGTCAGAGCAGCACCGAGCTTTGCAACACACTTGGTGGCAAAGGCTGTGGGTACACGGTATCACCACATCCAACCAGATCCCTACCCAGAACTTTTGCTCAGGAAACTTACAAATGAAGAATTTGTAACTGAGGTGATTGAGGTTGAAAAATGCAGTTAGTGGGTGAGCCCCAGATCCATGTAAAGCCCTCAGACACAGCGGCACGGTGCATCCCTTCCTTCTGTTCTACGGGCTCGTGCTTAAGTCATTTTGGCCAAAACATACTGAAAGCCTTAAAATGGTCATCTCTTTTGACCTAGAAATCCCTCCCCTAGGAATTTATCCCAAGTAAATCATGGATCTTCAAAAAAATTAACCATGAGGTTGTTTAACAGAGTTGCTCATATGGTATGAAAAATCCAGAACAAGCTAAGGTCTTATCTCACAGGAGGGGATGGGCATGGGTCGGGGGGCCCCCTGCGGCCACCAGGGCTGCGAGAGGAGGAGGGTATGTCAGCCACATGAGTGGCATCTGCAACACCCTGAGCGAGGAAAAGCACATTACCCAGCTTGACAGCATTCGTGTGAAAACCAAGAAGTTTAGAAATGCTTACCAAACCCTGAAAGGACATACAACCGCCTTCCTGCACCTCACCCCTGTTCTGTTTAGAAAGATGGACTGACTTTTAAAAAAGCCCCTTGATTGCAAAGGCAGCAGGCCGTCCTGCCCCACTGGCCCTTGAGATAACGGGGCGACCCCATAGTTGGCCGACAGCAGAGCAGGAGGCCGGTAGGGACTACAGGCCTGGCTGCCTCGGGGATGAGGCTGCTGAACTGAGGGGCCTGGCTGAGCTGAAGGACTCCAGCAGCCGCCACCAGCAAGGCTCTCCCACCTGCGTAGTCAGCCCCATCCCGTTGTATCCTGGCCATCGCCGCGGACCACGAGAGGTGCCAAGACTCTTTCAAGGCAGCCCTCCCCTAGACCCTCCGTTCATATGGACCACACATGCCAAGGGCTGCCCCCCCCTCCTCCGCAGGTCTGCACTCCGTCCTGCTGCCCCAGCGCTGGTGAGGAGGTGGAAGAAGGGCCCAGGGTTGGTCCTGCCCTTAAATCTGTGTAACCCTGGGCAAGTCCCTGCCCCCACCGCCAGCCTCCTTGTCTTTGGCTATAAAGCTGGGTCATGGCTCCCGCTTGCTGAGCTGGTGGGAGACTAAATGAGATGATGATGACAGCAGGCCCAGTGCTGAATAAATGGCCATGGTTGTTGTGAGAGTGAAAACGAGCCTGCCTTCTCCCTCCATCAAGGCGAGAGACAAGTGTTCGGGGAAGCCTGAGGAGTCTCACGCCAACCCCACTGCTGGCGGAAAGGAATCCGGCTGTCGCATCGGAAGCCCTTCTCCAACATGGGGATGATACATATATGTTTGGGGAACCAGCCCCACTGGGGTGCCATCAGCAGGGCCTCTTACCTGCTTTATCACGTGCTTTACTTTGGTGTCAGTCTTCTCCACCACCAGGTTGACCCCCAAGGCCCCAGGTTTCAGCCAGTCTAAAATCTACCGGTGAGAGAGAGAGAAGCTTTCAGGAAATGTACACATCTTTCCACTTTCTAAAGCGTGCCTACCTCCAATACCTTTTCTGGTCCTCCTAACTTCCCCGGTGTGCTGGCAGAGCAAGCGTCTGTGCTTCGCTTTGCAGACCAAGGAAACAGCCCGGAAGGTTGGGGAGCCTGTGAAGGCAGAACCCGAGCCCATCTCTTTGAGGCCGATTCTGGAGCTTTCCACCACCCCATGCCCCTTCTCCAGTCTGTGGTGAGGACCAGCGGGCATCTGGGAGCCAGCACCTCTGGGGCAGAGGGTGTTTTCACTCCCTCCAGCCTGCTTGGTCCCAACTTCCAGTATTCACCTCCAAGCTGGGCATCCAAACAAGAAAGAAACTGGTGCATAACTGATATAATCATCGTCACAGCCACGTGTGTGCCTGGCACGTGCCAAGCCCTCTACAGCCAGCCATGCAGGCAGCACTACTGCTGTCTCCATGCTTACATGGAGGAGACTGAGGCACGAGGAGCTAGGTCCGTGCCTGAGGCTACAGCAGGAGCAACTGAGATGGCCTGGACTGGACTGGAACCCCGGGGTCTGACTCCAGAGCCCGCGCATCCAGCCAAACCTGCAGAGAGATGGCTGCCACGACTGGACTCTGCGCAAGGAGGCCAAGGGTACTTGAGGATTACCTTCATCTGAGGATGCAGAGGAGGGGGTGTGGGGGCTGGAACCCCGAGTCTAGGGACTCTCAGAGTCCAGAAATGGTTTAGGTTTCTGTGATCTGACCCCTGTGGGCAGCCTGAATCCCGCTCAGGGAATAACCAATGACGTCCTGGGCAGCAATGTGCTCCTGGAAGCGTGCACATGCTGTCAGGTGGCAAATTAAAGTGTAAAATGCACAAGTATCAGATCAAGTCTCCCCCCAACCCCCCGAAAAAGTAGCTCTGCTTTTAAAATTCTCTGGCCACCAGAAACTCATCTGCTTGACCACTGGCTGACTCCCTGACGTCTGCTCCCACATACAGGGAATGCTCACAAAGTTAGAAGAACCTAACTCACAAATTAGTTTCAAATTAATTCATTTTTTACGAGGACTGAATCTAACATTTTATAAAGTTGGCATATTATGTCTCCAAGCATTTAGTTAATTCATTCATTTTATTTTGCAGATTTCCTTTCATTCTGTGAAATTTTCAGGTCCGAAACATTTTCACAGGCTCTGGAAAAGGCCTAAGTCCGCCAACTGGGGACCACTGACAGGGTGTTTCGGGAGTCTGGGGGCTCCTGATTACGAATTCCGGACGTTGGCGGGCGTCCATACGCACATAGGCCCATGGGTGAAGAGCATGGGGTTGTCTTCCACCCCGGGATTTTCAGATTGGAGAGGCCTTAACTTCACCCATCACCGGAGAAGCGGGAAACCAAAGCCGGGAGAGGCAAAGGGCACCCAGGAGGTCACCTCCGGAGGTACCCGAGGGCACCCTGTGAGCTCAAGGCAGACGCTGGCCGCAACACAGGTCTCCGGCTCCCGGGGGTCGGCATGGCCGCTGTGGCCGTTAAACCCGCAGGGGCCGGGGGCGGCAGGAGGTCCGGGCCCTGGACTCGCGCCCGCCTCCCCGCCAGGGGACAGCTCGGCACCTGGTACTTCTCCATAGTGCGTCTTGAG